AAGGCAAAAGGGGGTCCAACCCGTTACTAGCATGGGGTATCTAATAAAGTGGCCGGTGAGTGTATATTGTAAGCACACAGTTCTGTACATCCTTACAAGTGCACATTGGAGCTACATTTTTAGTTTTTAAATCACGTTTTGGTGTCATTTACTATCTCCAAGGCATGTTTGGTAAAAAAAAAATATGTTTTTTTTATTTTTTGCTGTAGAAATACATCCCATTAAATATAATAGGAACTTTGTGTGCTGCTGCTGCTGAGTCTAGAACAAGGGTCTGCAACCTAGCCCATAAAAATAAATGATAAAATACTACATAATCTTTAAATAAAAGCTACTTTAGTATTTTTGTTATCTGCAATATGAGATCTGTTGCCATTTCATAAAAAATAAAAAAATGGATTATTTGTATTTTTTTATTTTTTTAACCCTGTAACACCAAGGGTGTCATATTTGAGCTTTTGAAAACTCAAGTTTTTGTTCTTGAAAAACCCTAATTTGTACAATAAAACACGAGAAGGAAACAGAAAAACAATGATTAAAAAGTGCTTAATGTATCACAAATGACACAAATAATTTCTGATTTAAATTCTTCAAAATTGATGAGATATTTTTATGTCACTCTGATAGTGACAGTGTTCATTGACAACCGCAGCTTAAGTAAATAAAAACATATTCTGTCACTCATTTAATGGTTTAGGCTTTACAGGATAAACATCCATCCATCTTCTCTCACGCTTATCCCAAGCGGGGTCAGCTGTCAGCGGGCGAGAGGCGGGGTCCACCCTGGACAGGTCGCCAGTCCATCACAGGGCAACACAGAGACAAACAACCATAAATGCACACACTCACACCTAAGAAGAAACCAGTTAAACTAACAGTCTTGTTTTTGGTCTGTGGGAAGAAGTCGGTGTACCAGGAGAGAACCCACGCATGCTTAGGGATAACATGCAAACTCCATGCAGGAAGACCGCAGGCCAGGAATTGAACCCGGAATCTTCTCGCTGCAAGGCAGCAGTGCTACCCACTGAGCCACTGAGCAGCCCAAGACAAAACATAAACATTTATTTAACAGGAAGGATGGATTTTCCTCTATAGGATATAATTAATTTCATGTAAAAAAAAAAACAACAATACAAAAACATAGTTTCTGTCATGACTCATGAACAGAAGGACCCAGTATTCAGGAAAAACAGACAGTTGGATTACTCAAAAAGCGTTTATTTAAAATAAACAATCTGCGAAAGTGCTGTAGCAGCGGCTAGGGCTTCTTAAGGCAGGAAACTCAGGAGAGAGGAAACACAGGTTAATGACCACGAAAACCTGATGAAGGAAGATGTGAATGCGTAAGTCACTAACCTGGTTTAGAGTACAGTCTGTGCTCAGAGAACGAGGTTGATACTAGACGATCAGCTGACAAGATACAGCCGCTGCACAGAGAGTTCAAGACACCGAAGCCCAGAAGATTAGATCCTGAGAGACCAAGGAAGGCAGGATAATCCAGAGGGCGAAGTCAAGAGACAGATCCATGTATAGTCCACTAGTATAGTTCAGTAAGAATCCAAAGACAGGTCAGGCAAACAGATCAGAACAGGGGCAGCCAGGCTCAGAGGTGTGAAGACAAAAATGGGTCAGGATCCGACGATCAGAACACACATCAGCAGAGATGGCAAAAGTACTCACTTTCCGTACTTGAGTAAAAGTACAGATACTTGTGTTAAAAAATACTCTGGTAAAAGTGGAAGTACTGATTAAACTTCTTTACTCAAGTAAAAGTAACAAAGTACAGGCTTGTAAATTTACTTAAAGTATAAAAGTAAAAGTAGAAACCACTTTTTTCATGCCGTTGCCTACATTTTAAATGGATGTCTGCCAATAGGACTAGATCTCCGTTGTGTTCATTTTCAATCATCTCGTCGTCCATGCTACTATGCTAACGCCACCGCCACCAAGCTGCAATGATTTGCCGCCAATGAATACCGCCGAATCTGTCGATTCATCTTGTAGTGGTGCGTCAAATGCAACGTAGATTCCCATCCAATTAGATTGAATTTGGTATTGATGACGTGAAAAATAATAACGGTAACTCCATTGAAATGATTCAAAACTAAAGTAACGAGCCAATTTTTTAAAATGTAAGGAGTAGAAAGTACAGATATTTGTTTAAAAATGTAAGGAGTAGAAGTAAAAAATCGCCATAAAAATAAGTTGTAAAGTAAAGTAAAAATATCAGAAAAATCTACTTGAGTACAGTAACGAAGTATTTGTATTTCATTATTTCCCATCTCTGCACATCAGTAATGCTAGAGTAATTCTCACACCAAAGGCTGAAGAATAATCTGGCACTGATGACTGGGAGCAAGCCTTTCAAATAGAAACTGGAACAGGTGGATATGAAGAGTGGTA